TGTAAAGTTAATGTGAAAGCTTTAAGGTTTTAGCCCTTTCATTAGCTCGCACACTGAACTGACATTGAAACCTTGTTAGAATTCCAGCCTTGTTCTACACTCGCTCTCATCAGCTACCTGAACCCATCTGCCCGACTAGTTTACACAAGTTTGATCTGGTCTAATATATTTAAAAACCCACTGTAGTCTGAATAAACCTACTTCCTGCCGTCCTACCACCTCACCTCCCTAAAGAGGCACAAATGAGTCATAGATAATACCGTTCAGGATGTGTCCTTCATTTTTGGTTTAAGCACGCTGTGGAGCAGCCTGTGCTTGATAACCTTGATCTCTTCTATAATTTCAGGTTTGTTTCCAATATTTCTAAAACTAATATTAGGGAGAAAGTCTGTCTTTAAATCACACACACTCACCGTGCAGATGTTTTATTAACACTTGGCACTAACGACTCGGCTTTAGCTTCCATTAATAACACTGTAGAGCACATGCATGCACTGCAACCAGCTTTACGTTATAAATGTCAAACAGAAGATTTTCTGTGGGCCTCACCTGCTTCCCCGGGGCTCCTACCACACCTCTACTCTTGACCTGTTCCTTTATTCTCTGTGCCGTTTGCATATTTCCTCTGTTTGCTATTTATTCCTCATGTCTTTACTAGTTTACTATTTCTATGTGGAACTTCTAAACTTGCTTTAAAGCCTTCGCGGCTCCAACACGGCGGACACTGTTTTCTATTTTTGAGCCTGACTGCAGAGATGTTTGCGTTGTCATCCTGAATGGCCTGATACGGTATGTTCATCTCTCCTACACACACGAAACGTCTCGACGGTACAACGAGGAAAGGGGACTCTTCGTTACGCAACCTCCTGAGAGTGTTTGCTCTGTGTATTTATAACTAGCATCAATATAAACTCTGGGGTCGGACAGACATTACAGAAATGACTTATTTCTTCCTTTCTTTGTTTCCAGGGTCACTTCGCATCGGTCTGCAGGCCAATATGTTCTGTTAAATCATACATAATGCAGCACTTTGCAATAAATACTCGCCTGTGCAATTATTGGAACATCAGTCTTCATTTCTTTCTATTAACACGAAAGCAAAACAATGCAACAGAAGTCCGACTTTAAAAGGTTTTCATGCGCTACCTTTCCCGAGCGCGGCGGACGCCCTCTCTCTCCACCAGGTCTGAGCTGTCTCTGAGGCCAGCCGTGTCACTCAGGAGGACGGGGAACCCACCGAGGTCCAGCGCCGTCTCCACCACATCTCTGGTGGTGCCGGCAATGGGAGACACAATGGCTGCAGGTCTCTGACCTGGAATACAAAATGTTTGTAAATGTTAATGAATAAACTTGCCTGTCACAAAAAAACAAGCATTGTGTGCATTTCTCAAAGTAATAATTTGGTCATTTCATCACCTGCAATACAGCAGATCATTTATAACCAGAGAAATCTCCTGCGTCTAATAACGCTGACATATCTGTGCTTCTGGAGCTCGAGCCACCGGAGCAGGAAGGACTTGATCTGACATCAAATACACCGATCGCTCTGATACGAAGACATCCGAGCTTCAAGACCGGAGAGCTTAGATTAAAAGGTTCGACATTATGTCAGGAAACATGTCCTCATATTACAAAACACCAAATATATACGTAATTAGAGAGAAGCGGAACATTTAAACTCTACAGAAACGAATCTAACAACTGTGAAAATATTACTTACATCTTAAATGTTTTTATTCTTTTAAGTGTTTATTCTACAGATCGACTCCACTGTCACCTGAAGCACCAGCACAAGCGGAAAACAGAGATAAAGGTTCCCGTCTTTCAAACGAAAAACTGGGATGAAAAACAGAAGTTAAAAACTTTTGATTAGACGAAAGGTGAAAGTTTTGTCTAATCAAAAACTAGAACAAACTCTTTGACTTAAGCTGCAGCGTAAAGGTGTGAAAGCTCTTCAGGTGCATTTATGTTTCCATCCAGACTCCTTTCATTATTATTC